ACAGAACCTGGAGACAGAGCCTGGAGACGGAGCCTGGAGACGGAGCCTGGAGACAGAGCCTGGAGACGGAGCCTGGGAGACAGAGTCTGGGAGACAGAGCCTGGAGACGGAGCCTGGAGACAGAACCTGGAGACAGAGCCTGGAGACAGAGCCTGAAGACGGAACCTGGAGACGGAGCCTGGGAGACAGAGCCTGGAGACGGAGCCTGGAGACGGAGCCTGGGAGACAGAGCCTGGGAGACAGAACCTGGAGACAGAACCTGGAGACGGAGCCTGGAGACAGAGCCTGGAGACGGAGCCTGGGAGACAGAGTCTGGGAGACAGAGCCTGGAGACGGAGCCTGGAGACGGAGCCTGGAGACGGAGCCTGGGAGACAGAGCCTGGGAGACAGAGCCTGGAGACAGAGCCTGGGAGACAGAGCCTGGAGACAGAACCTGGAGACGGAGCCTGGAGACAGAGCCTGGAGACGGAGCCTGGAGACGGAGCCTGGAGACAGAGCCTGGAGACAGAGCCTGAAGACGGAACCTGGAGACGGAGCCTGGGAGACAGAGCCTGGAGACGGAGCCTGGAGACGGAGCCTGGGAGACAGAGCCTGGGAGACAGAACCTGGAGACAGAACCTGGAGACGGAGCCTGGAGACAGAGCCTGGAGACGGAGCCTGGGAGACAGAGTCTGGGAGACAGAGCCTGGAGACGGAGCCTGGAGACAGAACCTGGAGACAGAGCCTGGAGACAGAGCCTGAAGACGGAACCTGGAGACGGAGCCTGGGAGACAGAGCCTGGAGACGGAGCCTGGAGACGGAGCCTGGGAGACAGAGCCTGGGAGACAGAACCTGGAGACAGAACCTGGAGACGGAGCCTGGAGACAGAGCCTGGAGACGGAGCCTGGGAGACAGAGTCTGGGAGACAGAGCCTGGAGACGGAGCCTGGAGACGGAGCCTGGAGACGGAGCCTGGGAGACAGAGCCTGGGAGACAGAGCCTGGAGACAGAGCCTGGGAGACAGAGCCTGGAGACAGAACCTGGAGACGGAGCCTGGAGACAGAGCCTGGAGACGGAGCCTGGGAGACGGAGCCTGGAGACAGAGCCTGGAGACAGAGCCTGGACACGGAGTGTGGACACACGGGGCCATCCACCGGGACATGTGTGGGCTGGATGGGAAGGGCCAGGAGCCTCGGGGACAGGGCCTCACTGACGGAGTGCACCCAGGCCTTGGAGTGCGTGGGCACCCCCTGCTGGGCGGTCCACCCCACACCTGTGGCGGTGCCTGGGGAAGTGGACGTTGGGGCCCTGGGGCCTGCGGAGAACCCTGGTCTCCAGCAGGTGCCATGAATGTCACGATGGAGACCACCAAACGTCTGAGCAAGCGTGGTCTGTCCACATGAAGGACCACCGCAGGACGGATGAGCCCGTGGGGCCCAGTGAGCCAGCAGCTGCCTGGAGACGCTGGCACGGGGCGGGGGCCACTCAGTTCTGCCTGTTTAACAGCTCCAGTGAGAAGGGACACCAGCCACACACAGCCCCAGGGTCCGTGCTGAGCTGACCCCCGTGTGCTTTCCCACGTGTGACCCCTTGCGCGTCAGTGCTGGGTGAAGGGGCATTTCCTCTCCCGCGGTCATCAGCGTTCAGTCAGTCTGGTGAGGAGTCCTCTGGCCTCTGCAGCTTTGAACAGAGCCTGTTTTCCTCTGGCCCCCAGAGGGCTCTTCCTTGGTGTCTCTGGTGCCAACACGCGGCTGGGGCCTCGGGACTTCAGCTGCTGGGGCGTCGGTCGTGAGCCCGTGGCTGCTGGGTCTCACCAGGTGGGGAATTCCAGACTCTGCTGCTGGCTGAGCCTCCCGCGCTCCCAGGGTGGTCGGACCGGCTGCAAGCCACTCGGCCGCCCGGAGCCTCCAGTTCAGCAGGTGGGTGTGGACTTGGTGGCTGGCTCCTGCCACTTTCCTGTCACAGAATAGTTTCATTCTGACCTCAAGTGGGACTGAGCTGCTCAGGGGGCCCAGTGGCATGTCACAGAGACCTCCCGATCCCTCGGGCCCCCCCACCTGAACCAGAGTCCCTGTTCTGGGGGAGCAGGTTCAGGAGGACACAGGAGAGTATGGACCTGCTCAGGCTGAGGCCATGTGCGGTGACCGAGAACACGTGATCGGGAAGTTCCTGTGGGCTCCAGAGTCTGGAAAGAGTGACGGGTCCCACCCGTGGCGTGGGCATGGGATGGGCCAGCGCATGGGAACCGAGCGCTCCAGCGTGGTCAAGGCAAGAGGGGCCGCCTCGGTGCCTCTTCCCAATACACACGTGTGCACACGTCAGCTCACACATGTGCACACGCCAGCTCACACGTGTGCACACGCGCTCCTGCCTGCATGCAGTTGCACACACGTATGCACACAGGTGGACAGCCATGTTCTCCCCACTCAGCTGTTGGTCTGAGATCCTTTAGACCTGGGCTGTGGGCTGGGGGGTCACTGGGCAGTGGCCAGGGCTGCACAGGGCAGAAGGGAGGGCAGGGAAAGTTGCCTGAGCCTCAAATATGCAGAAAAATAGAGGCAGGAGGGAGGACAGGAGGGGACCCAGGAGGGAGATTTGTTCTCTGACTCCTGAGAGTTTACTGACCGTTGAAGGTGAGCCAGGCCCTAGGCACAATCAAGGAAAAATGGGGTGGGGCCCTGCGGGGAGGGGTGGGGTGCGGGGACATCCTGGGAGCCAGAGAGCCAGGGATGGACCTGGGAGCCAGGGCTGAGGCAGGAGCTGGGACCTGCTGCCCCGACTGCTGAAGGACAGGTCTGACCCGCTGTGGGGGCACCAGCCCCTCCCGGTCCCGAGAGTGGGGCCTCTGCAGCGTGGAGGTCTGTCCCATGCTGTGTGCAGGCCTTGTTGGCTGGAAGGTGACTGTCCCACCTCCAACATGAGCCCAGAGAGCCTCAGCTGGGCACGCGGGTCCCAGGGAAGGGCCGCCCAGGGCGTCCTCAACGTAGCTGCATCCTGCCAGGACCCGCCAGGCAGCCATGGCACTGGCCCAGGCTAAAGGAAACCATCAAAGGAAACCCTTCCCCTGCTCTGTCCCCTCCCACATGTAACAAGGAAGCCCTCTGGACACCGCCTCAGCCAGTGAACCTGGCCACCCAGGACCCTGCCCCCCAGCCCGCCCTGCCACACCCCTGCTCGTACCCCCAGATGTCCCCGAGGCCCCAGCACACCAGGGTCCCACCGTCCCCACTGTGTCCGCCTCCACCTCCCGGCCCTCTGGCTCAGAGGTCCCATCTCCCGTCCTCCTCACAGCAGCCCTTCCACCTCCTGCTGGGGCTGACCATGTCCACCTGTGCCTCTGCTGCATGGGATTCTGGTCAGGTGCTCACCCACAGTGCTTCCCACCGCTGCATCCTGAGGGCGAACCTGCTCTTGGCCACGGGCTTTGACACCAAGCCCAAGAGCTTCCCTGGCAAGCCCCAGGCCCAGTGTCCATGGGGCCAGTGTCCAAGGGCCAGTGCCTGACGGGTTCACTGGGAAGCCCGATCCCAGGCTGGGCCTGTTTAACACACCAAGACTGCTGCTCCCGAGAGGGGCACCACACGGCCCCCCTGATGCTCCTGTCCTCCCAGCTGCCAGAGTCCAGAATCCACTGCAGCCCTGACCCTCAACCCCTCTGCCCCCTCCTGTCCTCAAGCGGTTGGCCCAGATGTCATGTCCCACTGCCCAGGGGCTGGCTGACACCCCACACTCTCCACCCGCCTGCTCTCTGCACTCAAGGTCCACTTCTTCTCTGTCTACCTGCTGGCTGTCCAGTCCCTCCTGCCCCGAGCAGATGCCAGCCCTCCTCTCCCGCTGTCTGCTAGCCCCAGCCCAGCCTCAGCTTCCCCGCAGCCTCCGTCCACCCTGGTCCCTCGGGCTGGTCTGGGTGCTGCAGAGAGCACAGACACCATGATCTTTGACGCAAAGGAAGTGTGTGTTCTCCCTGCCCTGCCCTCTGCTGGCCTTCCTGTGGGACCCCGGGGCCTTCCCACCTGTGCCAAGCTGCTGGGTCTTCCTCACCCTCCCGGCCAGCCAGACCTCACACATGAGCACTACACCGAGTTCCTCTGCACGGCCCCTCCTGTCACTCCCTGGCCCACTCTCCTCCACCTGCAGGGGACAGAGCCCGCGGTGGGACTTCTCTGCCTCCTGGACCAGCATGCTGCTGCCGGCTGGCATGATCTTGACCTGATTTTATGAATAAGGAGGTTACAGGTGAGGTGTAGGAGCCAGCCTGGCCCCAGCACCTTGGGATGCACAGGGGTCAGCAGGGCTCTGTCACAGATGGGTGCTTCCTCCTGAATGGATTTGGGGTTTCCTTGCTCTCTTTCAGCCAGCCTGGGGGTTCCCATACCCCCACATTGGCTGCCTGACCTCTGGGAACTCAGATTTAGGGTGCCCTCCATCAAAGCCCTGGTCCTGCCTTGCACCCCTGCAGAACAGTGTTCCAGAGCAAACCTGAAAGTCAGCGATGCTGTGGCCCGGGCTGGGCCACCAGGCAGTGCCTGAGGTGGCTCCGGGCGCCTCCCATGTCCCCTGCCCTACATAGGGCACGGACAGAGGCCAGGCTGGAGCTGGGCAGGTGTTTTATTGAAAGTTCACGGATACAAGAGCTCTGAGCAGGGCCACACTTGGAGGAGGAGGGTGGGGGGAGTGAGTCCCAGACACTGGCAGCCCCCATCCTGGGAGCTCCCACGAAAGCCCTTCTTGCTGGGTGTTGGGTCTGAGGGGCCCCAGAAGCCTGGGTAGGGAAGACGGCAGAGAGGGCCGCTGCTGGAAGCCGGGGCGGTGGCACGGGAGGAAGGCCGGCCCCAGAAACAGGCGGGGTGGAGGCCGAGGCGGCCGGGCGGCCGGGACGGAGCTGGCCCCTTCAGGCACTGGCTTCTGACACGTGATGCTGGCACACCGCCTCGGGCCACGCAGGAGCCCACTGCCCCTCGAGGCGGGCCTCAGTAGTCGGTGAGCGGGTACCGCAGGAAGATGAAGACCAGGACGAGGCCCGAGGCGGCCAGGACCGAGCTGGCAATGTTGAAGAGCCGGGCCGTCTTGGCGTCCTCCACGGCCCCGTTCAGGTCGTTGACGAGCTTCTTGTCCCGGACCTGTTGCCAGAAGGGGGGTGAGCTCCAGGCCCCGGGCAGCAGCACAGGGGCCAGAGGAAGGGCTGCAGCAGGAGGTGGGGGGCCTGGCCCAGGGGCCTGCCTGGGGACCACACCGGGGCTCGGCAAGAGCACGTCCCGGCTTGAGAAGAGACCACCCCCACCCCGCTGGCTCGGAGTGAATGGCCCTGAGAGAGGAGGGAATGGCCAGCAGGGGACACGTGGACATGGGGATGCAGGGCACACGGGAGCGTCTGTTTCTTTCTGCTTTGGGGTGAGTCTAAAGTGATCTAAGGTGAAAGGAAGGTGGCCTCCGAGCAGCAGGCTGGAGGCTGGGCGTGTGCATGTCCCGTGTCCCACCAGGGTGCCTGAGAGCGGGCACCACACAGGGGACAGGCAGCCGCCCAGGGCCTCTGGGGAGGGACGTAGAGCGGGAAGGGTGGCGCCCAGGACCCCTCGGGAAGGCGGAGGGCAGAGCTGTGCCAAGGGCTGCCTTGGTCCAGGGTGGGTGTGAGCACGTCCCCTGTCCTACTAAGTCCTGATGGACAGGTCTGAGCCACTGCAACAGGAACCAAAGCCTGGGGGAGCAAGAGCAGGAGGGGGAGCTGCCGAGGAGGAGCACCGGTCTCTGCAGTAGTCAGCTGGGCTGCCGAGCTCGGTGCACTGGGCCGACTTGGAGCCTGGCGCGGGGAGAGTAGGTGGGGAGAGGTTGTGGGGGAGGTTGTGGGAGTGTAGACAGGCAGAAGGATGAAGCACGGCGGGGGGACGGGTTGTCCCGTGTGTAGACGGATGGGATGTGTTACCGTGATTCAGCCATCTTCCTTTCCCCACCCCGACTATTCCCCAGAAACAGAGACGAGGCCGAGATGAAACCTACTGGACTGGAGACGTGCCCGTGGGGACGTGTTGGTCTCCCTGTTCCCCTCTGAGAGGTGGGAAAACTGCCTGTCTCTGTTCCCAAGAAGCAAACTCGCCTTCCTCACGATCAGGGGATGCTCACTGTGTCAGTCAGGACTAAACCCGCCCTGGTGCCCGGCCGTGATCCTCGCCCCTAACAGGTGACGTTCGAGGAGCTGCTGCTGTCCCTCTCTGGGCAGAGCAGCCTTGTCAGGCCCCCGACAGTAAACCTCTTCTCACCCCAGGTCTGTGTGAGATCAGTCCTCGCCACTTTTCTTCCAGGATGGAGAAGGCAGGAGGGAGGAGGAACAAAAGAGAAGAGAAAGGAAAGAGAATGAAGGGGTGGACCTGAGCCCTGGGAGCAGGGAGCCAGGAAGGGAGCGAGAAAATGGAAGGAAGGGGCGGGAGATGAGGGGGAGACAGGCCAGTTAGTGGGGAAGGAAAGGCCAGTGGGAGACACGAGCGGATGGCGTGGGCCGTGGCGATCAGGTGGGGAGAGAGAGTGGAAAAGAAGAAGAATTGATCTTCAAGAACTACCCCAATACTCCCCAAATTAGTTCATGAACTAGGAAGGGAAGGATCACTTCCAAGTTCATCCTACACAGCCAGTGTCACAGTCACACCAGAACCAGATAAGAACATATCAAGGGAAAAAAACTACATACCAACACTTTTGATGAACATTAATGCAAAAATAGAATGTCAGGAAGCCAAATTCAGAACACATTACAGAGATCACACACCATTTCAAGTTGGTTTCATTCTAGGAATGCAAGGATGGTTCAAGGCACGCCAATCGATAACCAAGATACACCACAGAAATAGGACCAAGGACAAAAATCACAGGAACCCAGATTAATGCTAAAGATGCCCCTTATGGAATTCAGTAGCCCTCGTGATAAAAACCCAGAAGAAACCAGGGCTGGAAGGAACTCCCTCATCATCATGAATGCTGCATTTGGCAGATCTAAAGCCAGTATCATACCAAATGGGGGAAAACTGGAAGTATTTCCTCTAACACCAGGAACAAGACAAGGCTGTCCACCTCCCAACTCCTGCTCAATATAGTACTTGAAATTAGAGTCAGAGCAATTAGGTAAGAGAAATAAAAAGGACACAAACAGGAGAGGAAAAGGTCAATTTATCCCTTTGCAGAGGTTAAGAACTGATACTTAAAAGACCCTGAGAGTTCCACCAGAAGGACTTCTCGAGCTGATCAACTCGGCAAAGTAGAAAATACATGATCAACTTACAAAAATCAACAACTTTCTATACACCAATAATGAATGACTGGGAAAGAGATGAGGAAAACAATTATATTTACAATAACTTCTAAAAACTGCTTAGGAATAAATATAACCAAAGCGGTAAAAGAGTCCTGCATAAAATATCACAGACACTGAACACAGAAACTGAAGCAGACCCCAGAAGACAGAAAGACCTCCCATGTCCACGGATAGACAGAATTAACATGGTCAAAATGGCCATGATTCCAAAACCAACCAACGTACAGATTCAATGTAATCCTCCTCAAATGCCAATAACATTCTTCTCAGAACTAGAAAAAAAGGCCTCAAGTTCATATGAAAGAAAAAAAGGTGGATCGATCAAAGCAACCCTGAGAATTAAGAGCAATGTTGGAGGTGTCACAAGACCCACCTTCAAGTGACAAGACAGCCGCGTAGACCAAAGGAGCAGAAGAGGGCACGCAAGACACCCTGGTGGCACAGTTGCAGCCACCTTCCTTCCCCGACCCCCACTCCATGAACTCTGTTTTTATTCCCAAGAAATAGAAACTCGCCCGAGATACGACCTCCTGGCCAGGAGACCTGCCGCTCTCTCCCTGCTCTTTCTTTGACAGATAGGAGACGACTTACTGGCCCCTGAGATGGGGACGTACTGAGAGGTGGGAAAACTGCCTGTCTCTGTTCCCAAGAAGCAAACTCGCCTTCCTCACGATCAGGGGATGCTCACTGTGTCAGTCAGGACTAAACCCGCCCTGGTGCCCGGCCATGATCCTCGCCTCTAACAGGTGACATTCGAGGAGCTGCTGCTGTCCCTCTCTGGGCAGAGCAGCCTTGTCAGGCCCCCGACAGTAAACCTCTTCTCACCCCAGGTCTGTGTGTGATCAGTCCTGTGCCACTTTTCGTTCAAAACAATGCAGATAGAGTTACCTGATCCTAGACAAAAGTGCCAAAAACATACATTGGAGACAAGACGTCCTCTTTAACAACAGGTGCAGGGAAAACTGGCCGTCCACATGTAGAGGACTCAACTAGATCCTCATCCCTCACACGGTACAAGACAACTCCACATTGACCAAAGACCGAGTACAAGACCACACACTTTGTGACTGCTAGGAAAAGAAAATAGGGCAGACCCTTCACCACACGGGCACCAACAAGGACCTCCCGGATAGGACCACTCTAGCTCAGAAATGAGAGAGAGGGGCGTTGGTGGTGGACCACATTAGCAAGCTTCTGCACAGCAAAGGAAGAAATAACCGGGTGAAGAGAGAACTACAGCAGGGGAGAAAATCTTTGCCACCGACTCTTCCCACCGAGGATTAAATAAAGAACTCAAACACACCACCTTGAAAGAGCCACCTGACCCAGTCAGTAAATGGGCAAATGAACTGAGCAGACACCTCTCCAAAGGAGAAGTAGAGACGGGCAACAAACTCACGGAAACAGTCTCGTGCCATCAGGGAAACGTTCATGAAAACCACGCTGCGGTTCCCTCTCACTCGGGTCAGAATGGCAGCCGTCAGGAACCCAAGCAGCAATGAATGCTGGCCAGGATGTGAGACCAAGAAACTGCCACCACCCAAAAGACCAGGCAGGGACCCTCCCTGTGACCCAGCTGCCCCACGCCTCGATATTGACCCTGAGGAGTCAGAGTCATCTCACTACAGTGACACACACACACACACCACTCCCAGCAGCCAGACGACGGAGCCAGCCCAGGTGTCCCTCGATGGACGGGGGGATAGAGAAAATGTGGTGGACATGCACAGTGGAGATTTAGTCAGCCACGAAGAAGAAGGAAATTACGGCATGTGCAGGAACATGGACGGAACTGGAGGCCATGATTTTGAGTGGAATAAGTTATCCTCAGAGATAAAAGTATGTTTCTCTCCTCGGTGGAAGGAGAGGGGGCCCGCCAGGGTACAGCGGGGGTCCATGGGAGAGCGAGGGACAGGGGCATGTCGGGGAGAGGAATCAGTGGAACTGAGCTTGTATGTCTGCACCACGTGGCACAAGGAAGCCCACCGACTGGGTGATCAATAGGCAGACTTTAAAACCAGAAGGCTAAGGGACCAGGCGGTGGGCGGTGCTCGCTGTCTGAAGCTGGGTTCAGACGCAGTTTGCATCGTTTTCTCCAGAGTTATCTCATCTCCCACTGGGTCTAGTCTTAGCCTATCTAGTTCTTTAATTGTGATGCGAAATCACGCTTCTCCCTGATGTCTCCCGCTGCGCAGGCAGCCAGCCACTCCTGTACCCAGCCGCACTGTCCTGTTCTATGACTGAAGGAGGCTCCTCCGGAGGAACAGGAACGACGGCACTAGGTGGTCTAGACGGCCCCCCACGCTCTAGACTGCAGCTCTGGGTGAAGGCGCTGTGGGGCTCGCTGGCCGGGTGTGGCCGGGGTCCTACCAGGCCCCGCTGCCTGCAACGTGGAGACACAGCCTGCCCCGGGGTGTGGAGGCTCTCACTGAGCAGTGGGTGTGCAGGGTCCCCGTGTCTGCCTCCAATGGAGGCAAAGAAGGCCTCCAGGCCAGAGTGGCCAGCAGAGACCACCCCTAGCAGCCTGACTGCCCCACCTCAGCCTCTGCCCAGGCAGGATGCTCAGGAAGAGAGGGCCATCAGCATGTGGGAAGCACCCTGAGATGAGCACCTGGCGTCCTCCTCCAAATCACCAATGTCGGATGACCCTGGGGCCACATGTATGTTGACAAAGCTCTCCATTCCTGGACCAGTCCTGGTCATGGCCTCCGTTTCAGGTCCGTGAAGTGCGGAAGGGAGTGATGGAGAGGGTGAGCCACAGGGTGGGGAGTGGGGGGGGGGCACAGGGCCACAGAGTGGGTGCAGAGGGCTGGCTCTAAGGACTCGAGGAAAGGGGACGTGGCGGTGACTAGAAGACAGGAAAGGGTGGGGGAAAGAAGGAGGTCCAGGGAGACACATACTGGACACAGGCATGGAGGACTGCATGCAGGAATATGTGCTGGACAGATAGCTGTAGCAGAGGAGTGGGAGGGTGGGCTGTGGACAAATGGATGCAGGACAGTGGACAGGTTGGTGCCTAAGGAGGTAAGTGAAGGGTATCACTGTGTGGGACAAGTGACTAGATGAGAATGAGGCAGACATATGAGCAGGGGGCTCAGGGGGCACAGGAATGAATGTGAGGAAAGCAGGAGGAAGATTGGTATATTCAGGAATACAGACCAGCTGGGCAGCGGCCAGCACAGGCACTAGTGCAGAGTGATGGGTGGGACAGGCAGGCCGGGTTGGATAATATATGCCACAGGGGTGAAAGCGCATGGATGGATATAGGGATGTGGAGGAATGAGCAGACATAGGTGCGTTTGCAAATTCACATCTACGGGGTGGAAGAGATGGGCACAAAACATAAAAATGCATGCTGGGTGAACAGAACAGGTGGAGAGATCCAGACAGGGATGATGGGCATAGGTGGCCAGCTGCTGAACTGGGATGCAGTGGTGTGATCTGCATCATCAGGACATGTGCACAGGTAGGCATGGTGCTTTGACGGACAGGTGCACTGGGGAAGCAGTGGTGTGAGCTCATCAGGACAGGTGCACAGGCAGCATGGTGCATGGAGGGTCAGGTGCACTAGGGAAGCAGTGGTGTGAAATGCATCATCAGGACAGGTGCACAGGTAGGCATGGTGGATAGAGGGTCAGGTGCACTGGGGATGCAGTGGTGTGATCTGCATCATCAGGACAGGTGCACAGGCAGCATGGTGCATGGAGGGACAGGTGCACTAGGGAAGCAGTGGTGTGAACTGCATCATCAGGACAGGTGCACAGGTAGGCATGGTGGATGGAGGGTCAGGTGCACTGGGGATGCAGTGGTGTGATCTGCATCATCAGGACAGGTGCACAGGTAGGCATGGTGGATGGAGGGACAGGTGCACTGGGGATGCAGTGGTGTGATCTGCATCATCAGGACAGGTGCACAGGTAGGCATGGTGGATGGAGGGACAGGTGCACTGGGGAAGCAGTGGTGTGAGCTGATCATCAGGACAGGTGCACAGGTAGGCATGGTGGATGGAGGGTCAGGTGCACTGGGGAATGCAGTGGTGTGAGTTGCATCATCAGGACAGGTGCACAGGCAGCATGGTGGATGGAGGGACAGGTGCACTGGGGAATGCAGTGGTGTGAGCTACATCATCAGGACAGGTGCACAGGTAGGCATGGTGGATGGAGGGACAGGTGCACTGGGGATGCAGTGGTGTGAGCTACATCATCAGGACAGGTGCACAGGTAGGCATGGTGCATGGAGGGACAGGTGCACTGGGGATGCAGTGGTGTGATCTGCATCATCAGGACAGGTGCACAGGTAGGCATGGTGGGTGGAGGGACAGGTGCACTGGGGATGCAGTGGTGTGAGCTCATCATCAGGACAGGTGCACAGGTAGGCATGGTGGATGGAGGGTCAGGTGCACTGGGGATGCAGTGGTGTGAGCTCATCATCAGGACAGGTGCACAGGTAGGCAGGGTGGATGGAGGGACAGGTGCACTGGGGAATGCAGTGGTGTGAGTTGCATCATCAGGACAGGTGCACAGGCAGCATGGTGGATGGAGGGACAGGTGCACTGGGGAATGCAGTGGTGTGAGCTACATCATCAGGACAGGTGCACAGGTAGGCATGGTGGATGGAGGGACAGGTGCACTGGGGATGCAGTGGTGTGAGCTCATCATCAGGACAGGTGCACAGGTAGGCATGGTGGATGGAGGGACAGGTGCACTGGGGATGCAGTGGTGTGAGCTCATCATCAGGACAGGTGCACAGGTAGGCAGGGTGGATGGAGGGACAGGTGCACTGGGGAATGCAGTGGTGTGAGTTGCATCATCAGGACAGGTGCACAGGCAGCATGGTGGATGGAGGGACAGGTGCACTGGGGAATGCAGTGGTGTGAGCTACATCATCAGGACAGGTGCACAGGTAGGCATGGTGGATGGAGGGACAGGTGCACTGGGGATGCAGTGGTGTGAGCTCATCATCAGGACAGGTGCACAGGCAGCATGGTGGATGGAGGGACAGGTGCACTGGGGAATGCAGTGGTGTGAGCTACATCATCAGGACAGGTGCACAGGTAGGCATGGTGGATGGAGGGACAGGTGCACTGGGGATGCAGTGGTGTGAGCTCATCATCAGGACAGGTGCACAGGCAGCATGGTGCATGGAGGGACAGGTGCACTGGGGATGCAGTGGTGTGAGCTCATCATCAGGACAGGTGCACAGGTAGGCATGGTGGATGGAGGGACAGGTGCACTGGGGAATGCAGTGGTGTGATCTGCATCATCAGGACAGGTGCACAGGTAGGCATGGTGCATGGAGGGACAGGTGCACTGGCGATGCAGTGGTGTGAGCTACATCATCAGGACAGGTGCACAGGCAGCATGGTGGATGGAGGGACAGGTGCACTGGGGATGCAGTGGTGTGAGCTACATCATCAGGACAGGTGCACAGGTAGGCATGGTGCATGGAGGGACAGGTGCACTGGGGAATGCAGTGGTGTGAGTTGCATCATCAGGACAGGTGCACAGGTAGGCATGGTGGATAGAGGGACAGGTGCACTGGGGATGCAGTGGTGTGAGCTACATCATCAGGACAGGTGCACAGGTAGGCATGGTGGATGGAGGGACAGGTGCACTGGGGATGCAGTGGTGTGAGCTACATCATCAGGACAGGTGCACAGGTAGGCAGGGTGCATGGAGGGACAGGTGTACTCCGGATGCAGTGGTGTGAGCTGCATCATCGGGACAGGTACATAGTAGGTGTGTTGGATGGAAGGATAGTTGGTGAATAGATTTGTTTGCACTTTGGAAGGAAACGTCAGGTGGATTAATGGAAGGTGGAGTGTATGATTTACGATTCATATTGTATGCCTAAGGATGGTAGATTGGGGCAGATTCACTCTCTCATTCAATCCATCAGCCTTGACTTTAGCCTCCTCCCTGCAATTTCCACACAACCTGGGAATACAAGGCGCAGAGCAAATCTGTCCTGTGGAGTTTACATTCACAGACAAGGGGACAGGCAATGAACAGAAAAATGAGATCTAGTGTGTGAAGCTTGCTCTAAAGAATACCCAGCATTGGACTTTCCGCATAACCACTGTTCACACAGCACTTCCAGGGGAGTCAACTTGTGCCGACAGGAGAGTAGGGGATGATGTGCAAACACTGAGATTATAGCACTTTCAGGTCTTGGTACCCATGTGGAGACCTGGGCCTTACCTTCCCAGGACACCCAGGGACGAGTGTCCTCGAAGGCCTAGGTCTTAGCTTCCTGTGCCCACCATGTGGTCCAACCTGGACTCTTAGGACAGTCCCCACCTGGTCCTCCTGCTCCCGCCTGTGTCCTCATGGGCTCTTCTCCACACAGCGGCCCGAGTCCCCCTCCTATATGTGACCTTTGTTTCCTGTTCTCAGAGTTCCATTTCACTCCTAGTAAGTGACCAAGTGCTTCCTGTGGTTTGCAAGGCTAGGTGGCCGGGGCCCTGGCTGCCCTCTGGTCTCCTGCCCCTCGTCCCACCCCAGCCCAGCCATACTGCCCATGGAACTGACGTTCCCTCAGGGCTCTGCTGGCGGCCCCTCTCCTGGGTGCACTCTTCCCCGGGTGCACTTTAGGCTACCGTGTGAATCACTTCCTGCCTACACTCAAGTATCACCCACAAAGAGGACGGCTTTGCCCACCCTCTACGCAGCGTCGGCCCCTGCCCGTCGCCTCGGTCGTGGCTTGTTCATGTTTTCTTGCTGACATCACCACTTGACATGCGTAAGTGTTTCATAATTGTCTGGCTTCCCTGCCAAAAGGTCTGCTCCAAGGTCAGGAACTCTGGGTTTCTCGTCACTGTTAGTGGACGGTGATTTACCGTGAGCATAGTAATGAAGAAGTCGTGGGAAGATGCAGGGAGTCTGAGTGAATCAACGATTAGGAGATTGACGGCTTCATGAATGGCTGTGATGAGACGTCACAGGGAGGGTGCAGGGGAGGAAGGGAGGAGGACAGCGTGGCGTTGGGAGTGAAGGAAGGCGGTAAGTGTGTGCACTGAGGCGAACCCATGTATCCACGGGAGAGGAGGAGCCCAGAGGAGGAGACGGCAGACCTGGGATAGGGGCGGAGATCACAAGATGGAAGCAGTGGGGTTGGAGTGGGTGAGGCGACAGGGTTTCAGCTGGATGCTGTGTGCAGAGAGGGACTCATGGGAGAGGAACCTGCGGGAGGGCCAGTGGGCAGAGGGAAAGGGGGAGAGGAGATGTGGAGAGGCGGATGGCGGGCGGATGGTCACCTGGAGGGACTGACGGGTCGGGGGTGTCGGTGGGTAAAAGTAGGGGAGAAGAGCTAATGGCTGAGAGATCAGGAAAGGGGTCACATGGTTGGAGTAGGAGCCGTGCAGTGGGGTGAACGGGAAGGGGGAAGTTGGGAAGAAGCATCTTTGCTTCAACACGTGGGTCAGGAAGTGCTGGGATGGGGTGGCTGGACGGGCAGAGGCGGGGTGAGGAGAGAGGTGGCTGGGCGTCCAGCAGCTGGGGAAGGGTGGGTGTCTGGAGGAAGCTGGAGGATTGAGGGGGGCGCCTGGGCGGAGTCCTCCTGGGGCAGGATGGGGTGACCGAGGTAGGAGCAGAGGAGCAGGAAGGGCAGACGGAACAAGAGTGATACTAAGTGGAGACCAAGGGAAGGCACAGCCCTGGCTGGTTGTGTTTTGTGTGTCAACTCTTCTCAACAGCACTCAGAGGTGTGTCCATCCTCATCTGTAAAAGGAAGAGATTCGAGCACAAAGGTAGTGGTCATTTAAGGTCTCACGGCTACTCAGAGGTGTGGTCAGGGCTCAAACATGCTCTGAATCAGAGCCACCATGAGCCCTTGGGTCTAGTGTGACGGGTAAGGAGGTGGCGGTGGGAGGGATGATGACTGGTGTGTAAATAACTGGAGGAGGGAGGAAGGACAGATTGAGAAAGATCACAGGGTGGACAGATGAACAGGCCTGAGGCAGATGTGCTGGGTGCAGATGCATGACCTGGTAGGTTGACACGAGGTGTTCGGCAATGAGACGGGGAAGCAGGGAGGTCCGGTGGGAGGCTGGGAGGGGCGGACACGGCAAATGCAGACATGGATTCCTAAGAATGGGTGAGTGTGTGGGGGACAGCAGGGGCAAGGGTGAATGAAACTGCGGATGACGGACGGACGGGCAGGAAGGGCTGGGAGTTCCTCAGCAACTGGCATTAGAGAGATGATCAGCAGGTTGATGCAGGAGCTGGTGGGGACGGGCTAGGAGGAAGCAGCACCAACACTGTGTGCAGATGGAGAGATGCGGGTCTAGATGGCTGGAGGGAGGAGGAGGGTGCGCAGATGCCGGTCATGCATGACTTACCGACGGGTATGTTCTGAGGAATGCACCGCCAGGGGGTTTCACCATTTTGTTGATGTCATGGGGTGCACTTATGCAAACTAAGACAGGACATCACTTGGTGACACAATCTTAATGGAACTACTGTCAGATATAGTGTCCTTTGTTGACTGAAGTGTCACATGGCTGTGTGAGGGTGTGTGGGTGGACAGATGGGTGAGTGGATGGAGGGCAGGTGGGTGGAAGGTGGATAGAGGGTGGGTAGTGGGGTGGGTGGGTGGATGAAGGATGGGGGCTGGGTGGACAGAGGGTGTGGTTTGGGAGGGTGGGTGGGTGGATGAGTGGTAGGTAGGGTGTAGGTGGATGGTTGGGTGGACAGTGGGGTGGATGCTGGTGTTGATGTTCAGAGCAGCAGCAGGTAAGCGTGCCACCCAGTGAGTACTAACCCAGGGCAGCCCTCCCTCATCAACGACTCCTCCCACTGCCCTCTTGCCGGAAGCCTCCCAGCTGCCACTCCCTGGCTTTATCTGTCACCTGCTCCTGCCCCCTGTCCCTGTCCAAGTTTGGGCTGCATGCCCTCCTGTGGATCTCCGTGCCAGGACCCCCACTGTCCTCTGGGCCTTTCTTTCCCCTGTCTTGGCAGTGGCTGGGATGCCACAGCACTGGCCACCTCGTCTTCGGTCTTCCCCACAACGGACCCCAACCCCTTCCCCACGGGGCTCCAGGTGCCTCTCAGGATTGTCTTCTGCAGCCCACGGAGCATGGGGCCTGGCTGACCGAGTGCTCCACCATGCAGCCTTAGTTCATACTCGGTTCTCCACATGCAATGCCCCACCCGCCCATCCTTCAAGGCCAAGAAAAGGGCTGCCTCCTCCCAGAGGTCTGCTGCCCCGGGCCCCACCTGGCCCCAGGCTGGGAGCAAAGTCACCCTCTTCTGTCTGAGGTGTCGGGACACCAGTTCCATCTCATGTGTCCATCCACCCATCCAACCAACATTATCTGGCCCCTGTGTTGGTCAGCCCTGCCCGGGACACGGATGGCTCCCAGATGAAGGGACTCATCTGGGTAGAGGGTATGATAGAGCAGGGTCCTGGAGGCTCTGCAGGAGACACAGACCCAGGCTCCCAGGCCGAGGTGTGCACGTCACTGCTCTCCGGGAATGAGGGGGGGCAGGGAGTGTCTGACAGGCCAGGAAGGGGGTCACAATGGTGCTGAATGCTGAGAGAAGTTTGGACACTCTCCAGCTAACAGGGGGTGGCCATGTCTTTATGAGGCTGCACATGGAGGCTGCATGAATGGAGAATTGATCTTTTCTATCTCGTCCCTCCCAGACACCAGGCTGAGCCAAATAAGGCGCCATTCTCTGTGCTGCAACCCAGCCTGCAGGGGGCCGAGCTGCCGATGCTGTGGGAGGGCGGAGGTGGCTTGAGGGCTGGGTGGACAGACAGGCAGGCCAGGACACAGCTCCTGCCACACCCGCTGCCTGCCAGCCCCCACCCCTGCTCAAGTGCGCTGGCCTAGACAGGGTCCTTCCTGTTTGTTCTGTGAGCAGGTGAGGGAACAGAGCTCAGTGGAGAGACGGCTCGCCGATCCCCCAAGCTGGTCTTAGCCAAGGCCTCCTGACCCCACGGCCATTCCCTGCCCTGGAAAATGCCCCCGGTGGTCAGCCTGATGTGCAGCAGCAGCTGCTCAGGAGACCTGCCACTGGATGGACAGGTGGACCATCCCCAGCCCTTGGGCACAGAGCCGGACAGCTCTGTCCCGCCCCACCCCAGGAGGCAGCTGGTGTCATGCACCCCCGGGGAGCCCCAGAGCCTTTCCACCTTCACTGGGTCCACCTGGGGGGCAGCCCCAGAGAATGGGGGGTCCTCTCTGCCTCTTCAAACTAGTGAGCTCGTGTCATCCCGCCGCAGCACGGACCCAGCACAGACAGGCCTGACCTACCTACAACCTGCACCAGATGGACCTGCCCCATGCCAGCCAGCCGGCCACAGCCTGAGCCAAAGGGGAGGAGGGGGCAGCTTCCGGACAGGAGCCCGAGTCGCCAAGCCTGCATCCCCAGGCTGTTGGCAGCGCACAGCCAGAGCCTCGGCTGCCCCAGCACGCCTGTCCTCTGCCAGGCTCCGGCCTGCAGGCTGAGCTGGGCTGGTCTGACGGCCACACCAGCCCCCAAGGGCCCTTCCCTTGCTGCCTCCTCAGCACATGTGCACACACACTCTTACACACACAGATACTAACACTCGCTTGCACAAACACATGCATTCACTTGCACATATGCACATACATCTATATACTCACAGGCAGTTACACTAACACCCCAAACTCACAGGCACATACATACACATTTGCACATCTACCCATGCACATATGCATGCATACACATGCATACAATATATGCACGTGCATACTTACATACATGCAGTTACACTCACCCACCCCACCCCACCCCCGCCACACACATGTCCACGCTCACACTCATATAAACTCACTCGTGCTGGCCCGGTGGTGCACTCCTATCATCCCAGTGACTCGGGAGGCTGAGGCAGGAGGACTGCAAGTTCAAGGCCAGCCTGGGCAATTTAATGAGGCCCTGTCTCAAGATAAAAATTAAAAAAATAAAAAGGGCTGGGGGAGCAACTCAGTGGTAGAGCACCCCTGGGTTTAATCTCCAGTACCAAAAAAAAAAATCCCCCCAAAAAAACCCTCACACTCACACAACACACACACACACGTTGCACACACACTTGGCATGCACACTCACGTGCACAGGTCCCACGTGGTGGTGCCCGGGGCTAGGTCCACAGGCATGGCGATGGAGTGCACATGACGGGAGATGGTGGTGCTGTGGATGAGTCAGGAGGAGGTGGCCAGGAATGTGGTACGCACAGGGTGGGGCTCTTGGCTCAAAGACGATTAGAGGCAGAGCTGTCCGGACGTCCCTGCTCCCAGGTCGGCCTTGCCCTAGCTCTACTCTCCCCACAGCCCTGCCGCTCCCGGGCCTCCTGCCACCCCACCTGGCTGGGCAGCTGTAATCAGTGGAATGCATCTGGCTATGGCCGTTCAAGTCTGGGCTCGGGAAAGTGATGATCTGGCCCAATGCGAGCCAGGTCCTTCTTCCTGGAGTGGCAGGGTGTGGGGACGCCTGAGTCCCCATCTCCCTGCACAGCCCAGGGCTACTCAGTCCCTACAAGGGGTAGAGGGGTCACCCCACCCAAAGTGCACTGGTGACAGTCCCCTACAGGCGCAGTCCTTCCCCTCCCTCTGCCCTCGGGGGTGGGTCCCGTGGCCTGACAGTCTTCTCTGCTCCCAACCAGTTCCTCTCAGAGCCGAGGGGCTCTGGAACTCATGCCCACTCTGGGCACAGGGTGATGGGGTCTATGGGACATGCTTTCCCGTTCTTTCCCTGAGCTGCCCTAGCCACCAGGCATTGACTTCCAACCAAGTACACAGTGGGGTGTGCACAGTGCCTGGCCTCAGGTTCCCTGATGACAGAAGGCATGCAAGGGTCCCTGAGGTCACCCCTCCTCTCTCAAAAGGTGCAGGGTTGCAAACCCTCTTCAGCTCCCTGAGGGCTCCATCCCTTTTGACCTTGGGATGGCTGCTGGCCAGGGTGAATTCCCTGGGTCCCCACGCCCCATGGCTGGGCTCAGTTGGCTGTGCAGAGAAGGGTCCCGGGAATCCAAGTCCCTGTCGGAAGCTCTCTCAGCGCAGGAAAGGAAGGGATAGCCCCTTGCTGCCCAGGGATGCCTGGCCAATGCCCCATCCCAGGACCCCAGGTCCCTCTGGGCCCCAGCTGCACCTGCTCGACCACAGCAGAGGGAGGGCCAGAGCAGTGCAGTCAGGTCCTGTCCAGCCAGCACCCACCCCTCCTTTCCGCCCTGCCACCGCGGGGGCTCACTTTGAGGGAGTAGGCCAAGGCGATGAAGCCCAGGCAGCAGAAGTTGAGGTAGACGAAGTTGAAGATGGACCACAGGTAGTAGTCGTTCACCTCGGTGGTGTCCGGGTAGACCTCGATGACAGTCGTGGGGTTCGTCATGGTCTTCTTCTCGGCCAGGTGCTTGCAGGCCTGGGGGCCCCCAGCCACCCGCACACTGTCTGTCTTGCTGCTCTTGGACTCCATGGGGAACAGAGTGGGTGCCATGGGGGGTGAGGCTGAGGGCTCAGTGGCAGGGGCCGCTGGAGCCTGCAAGGCAGGGGGCTTGGACACACAGGCAAAGCAGCCCTTGGGCGAACCTACGGGGGGCCTCGGAATCCAGAAGGCCCCGTCCAGGGGGACTCGGGCTTCCTGGGTGCCGTCCGTGGTGCTGGCCGGGGCTCCCAGCAGGGCTGGGCACTGGCCGGGGCCCTGGGCCTGCAGGGAGGAAGAGGGTAGGAATGAGCTGGGCCCTGCTGGTGGAGCAGCACCCACCCTGGAGCCCTGCAACATCTCCCCTGCAGCCCCATAAACAGCCCCAGCGGAGATGGAAATCCCCACCCAGGCAGCCAGCTGCTAGCCTGCCACCTGCCTCCCCCGCCCGCCCGCCCGCCCGCCTGGCCACTGCTAATGCCAAAGCCCTTCGCAGCAGCCTTGGCAGGCACATCCGGCTTTCCATCCTTGCCATCTGCACACACACATTCACCCACCGGCACACACAGACCCCCAGTGCACACCCAACAACACTCTGACATGCTGTTGCAATACACAGAGCACGGGCTTGGCAGTGGACCTACAATGACACTGCCCTAGTCACTAACTGGAGAAATGAACAGAGCCCGGGAAGCACCTGCCTACAGACCCAGGCAGATAGTCTGCCACAAACCCAGCACCACCGGCCGGGCTCTCCAGTCCGGCACCCTCCCGCTGAGACACAACCGGGTAAACAACGGCCACAGTGACACGCACACACACCGCGACACAGGCCCCGGCAGTCGCCGGAGGATAAGCACAGGTGCGGGGCTCCAAACTCGCGCGCATCGCCCCCAGCCCCCCAGCTCCAGCCGAAAGCGGTGCTGGGGAACCCAGCGCGCCACACACAAGCACAATGACACTCGACCAAATGAACACTTCAAAGAGGCACCCAGGCGCTGGCGCCGTGCCCCCCGGCTCACCGAGCGCGTAGGGGTCTGAGCCAGGCTCCGCGACCCCCGCCCGACCCCGCTTTGCCGCAGGCTCCCGGGCGGCGCGTCCTCACCTACTGGCGACTCCGCGGCGGGCGGGCCGGACCCCTGCGCCTCAGTGCGCGCGTCCTTCTGCCCTCCCCGGCCGCTGTCTGTCCGCGGA